CTTGGCGAGATGATACAAGTGGTTACAGGGGATGTGCTGCCAAGGTGGAGAAATGACAACTAAAGAAAATAATATAAAGGGTGTTAGCTCTTCTATCTTGACAGAACACAGAGAATACTGCCAGTGTTGAGATAGGGTGGTTAAAATGTAGGGAGGAAAAGATAAGATTTTTCTAAAATGGAGGCAAAGCTCTGGTTACTACACTGCAAATGGGTTTCTATGACTTAGTTGTAACTCTTCACCTGTATTCAACTCTAACTCTGATGTCCCTTTTTTCAGAGTCGTCATGACCATTTTCCTGCTGACCAGTCACTCCTTCACTGAGGGACCTCTGACCTTTTTGGTTTCTGGACGTATCAATGCAGGGATGAGATAATAAAGTCAACCAGCCTGTGCATGCTGCTACAACAACACCTGTGGCTCTTGTAAACCCACCCCGACCCCCTAACTCCTCCCCAAACTAAGTTCATTTCAACAGTCAAAACATGACCACTCCGGCTCTCCTGCCGCTGTCGGGCCGCAGGATACCCACTCTGTCGCCGGGTGCCTCCTCTTTCCCGCACCACAGGGCTACGTTGAGGCTCTCTGAGAAGTTCATCCTCCTCCTCATTCTCAGTGCCTTCATCACCTTATGCTTCGGGGCCTTCTTTTTCCTTCCGGACAATTCCAAGCACAAGCGCTTTGACCTGGGCTTGGAAGATGTGCTCATTCCTCATATTGACTCGCCTAAAGAGGGGAAACACGCTTCTGGACAGGTGATCATACATGGACAAGGAGGACATGATGAGCACAGACACCGGTAAGGACCAACAATGGAAGTGTTTGTATTTAATTTTTGAAATACCTGTTTTGTGACATGAATTGACCAGTGCCATCTTAAGGATAATATATTTTTTTCTGATGAAGGAGTAAGAGAATAAACAACAAGATTCCTCAAACATTAGTAATTGATAGGTTTATTTTTGGTTCTTTACCAAAAGTTACGTCTCACACTGATATTTCCACTAGGCCATAAAAGCAGGTGTCTCATCAGCAGTCTTTTGTGACACCCTGGGGCATTACAGAGTTTGTAAAGCAACAAAAACTCTACTGAACAGTTAGATACACGTTAACACAGGTGTTCCTTCCTCCTCCTCCCTTTTATCCCCCACATCATTTTGTGCAGCTGGGGTAGCTCTGAATACTCTCACGCTTTGTGTCTCCACTGGGTGTAATTGTTTAAGTTCTTGTACAGAAGAAATTTTTATTACCCTGGCCGCAGTGTTGTCGTACTGTCCCACGGGCAGACGTGGAAGAACTTGATGAACTAGAACACACAGTCTGTTTGAAAAGCTTTAGTAGCCGCTTAAGCAGGCTTAGAAATTATGGCCCACTATGAGCCAAATGCTGGTAAATTTTGGCTGCAGCTTTTACATTTGTCGTGTGGTTTGTCCAGCCTCTTTGGCGGGTTGCCAGTCATCGTTTTGAAGCTCTCCTAAATCAAATTCATATTTGGCTTCTCTAAGTCTCTTGTGCTATTTGGATTCCACTGTGCTGGACAAGTTTCATGCCCTGCTACCAAATGTTTTTCCCAACTGACTCAAGCAACAGTAAAAGGAATTCTCTTATTTACATGTCAATAAAAATTTTTTAATTACTGACTATAAGTGAGCAAATCAGTACTGGAGTTTATTTTGTAATGTGTATACCACTACCTTTAATTTTCAGGATGGTCTAACAAAGTGGTAGCGACATATTCAAGAATCATGAAATGTTTGTTTAATTTCTTTCGAGATGTTTCTGAACTGTCAAGATAAACGGTTGAACAATTAGCACCAAAATAAAAATGCAGTTTCTACACTTTCTGATTATTTGCATTTTGAATTGTGCTCTGAGGGTTTTTCAGAGCCTCTATTTTTTTTTTTTTTTATAAAAGCAGTTCACTACCTGCACACTGAAGAAATCTGAAAACAGTGAAGTGCAATTTTATTGGCCTAACCCATACACATATGAATCATGCTGCATCCTTACATGTGTAATATTTTGCGATGACTTGTGGCTGACATAAAATGTGAAAAATGCCAAACAGTAGGTGGAAAGGATCATTTTATTAGAAAGGTCTCCTCCATGCTAGTGTAGGAGGTCATTAGTTTTACTGAGTGCTGGGAAAGGTGTTAAAAGCAATTTCTCAAACAGTTTCACAGTGGGGACCATTGAGTGCTGCCTCCTTGTCCCCTGTGCTGCCTTTTCATTTTCCTTCCTGAAAGCCTTGTAGAGCTTGAGATTTTTGCCTGCAGGAAATAACGTCATTATTGGTGTCCAGCGACTCGGAAGGAGCATACAGTATTGGACTCAGGTGGTGCTGCGTGTCATAGTCGGAACCACAAGGGTTTTTTGAAACATAAAGGTAGGAGGTTTGGGGATGTTCATGCTTCTCCAGAGGTGGCATTTTATAGCAGGGATGGGAAGGGATTCTGTGATGGCATACAAGAGCATCTGGAGCGAAACGTGACTAGGTTGCGTGTCAGGGAGCGTGATGCTGAATTTCTTCACATGATACAGGTCTGTTTTCAAGTCACAGACAAAGTCCTTTGCACATTGCAAGCGAGCTGTCATTGTTCTTGGCTAATGCATCCATATTTGTTTAAATGATATACCTATAGTTTTTGGCACAGAAGTGTTCCTCGGGGGGGGGGGGGGGGCAACAAAAGATAGTAGAAGGTATTTCTTCCTCTTTGATCAACAGAATAATGTTAAATAGGCTGGATCAGACTGATTTTATAGCCCCTTTCAGCTTTGTGATCTACTCCATGTATTTTTAATTGCAGCCAAAGCTCTCCACCTTGGAAGTTATGACAAGGGTATCATGGAATTCAGCCCTCAGAATAAAAAAATAAATGAATATGGCTTTATTAAAATAGTATAACGAATTTAAGAGCATGTTCACTGAGTTCAGTTTTCAAGAATGCAACAAGACATAACAAATATCTCAATACATGATTGATTTTAGAGTTATGGGCCAAAGTGGCTTGTTAAAGTGAGATAAAAGAGGAAGCTACTGAGACTTCCCTGTGATGACAATTTTAGGTTTTGAGGAGTGAGAATAATACCCTTTGAGATCCCTTTTAAATTAGTTTTATGCAAATTTAAAGTCTCAACAATACCCCCAGTGAATTTAACCTTAAGTAAGCATTCATGTGATGTGAAATGTTTTTATTTCTTTCGCTGCTTATAGCAGCTTATGGAATTTATTTATTTATTTTTTTACTATGGCTGCTTCAACTGTTCTTAAAATCATCATTGTGTGCTCCAGAGGACCGGGGTTCAAACAGCCCCTGGAAAATGAGGCGCGCTAGCATTGAAAGAGACCCCCAGGAGCACAGGCAGTCTCATAATAATTTCACCTTTTACTTTATTTGGCCACAGAAAACCCCACAGAACCAATTCTCTGTTCACAAGTTCATCCTGTTAATAGTCTTTAAGTATAAAAGCTTTTGAGAGCACAAACGTTATAATTCTATTTGCCATGGGGTAATCCACCTGTTCTCCTGAATTTGCGAGATATTGACAATAATTTAAAATGCCCAAGAATGTGGTTAAAGGGCTTTGCACACACTTGGCAGTACTGTACTACCTTCTCATTTTGTAGTTGACAATCTTTCTGGGTTATGGGTGTTTGCTTTTGTTTTTAAAAATTGAGGAATAATTGTAAGCAGCACATTTGGTAAGCAGTTGCATGTGCTTTGCTGTTTACTCTTGCTGATACGAGGTTTAGGGTTGTATCCTAAAGATGAGCTGTGTCTTAGAACATTTTAAATATATCATTATGATTATTGAACACATAGTATATGAGGGTAATCTTAGGCATAGGCATTCAATCATTCTGTCACATACTCACCCAATCTCCTGTCAAGCTTATCATGTTTACAACCAAGGAAACATTTTCTCTGGCTGTAAGCCTTTTCAAATGTGTATTGTATTTGTTGGCTTCTTGACTTTTTATGTGGTAGATACTCACTAGGAGTTTTTTTCCTTTTGTGACAAGCCAACAGATGGGTTGTGGGTTAAACTGGTTTTATTGGACACTTCTGGGGCTGACAAACTTTGGCAATCACACTTTAGACGGATAGGAACTACAAACCGCCTGTAATCCAAAACCCTGTCAGTACAAAGTAAAGTACAAGGGCTGATACTTTCACTTGCAGTTTTGAATACATACATGTCCAGTCCTCAAATATATGTGAGCCTTACTATTTCAAACATAATTCCAGGAAAAACATCATCCTACATTTGGGTCAACAAAGTTCAACCTTAAAACAAAAAATCCACTACAACTAACTTTTAATGCTCTGCTGAGGGAGTTATGTATACCTTGGCTGCATATGATTGTTATAAGGATGTAGAGCCACTTATGAGGTAAACTGAAATTGAACACCTGTCTCGAGCACCAGAAATCACTTGGATGCAAAGCTCTGTACAACTTGACATGGTTTTGTTTTGGTCCGACTCAAACAATATAGGAGGAGCTAGGAGCAGTACTCTTCATCTGAGAGGGTGACAAGTTGACATGTCGACAGAAGCAGTGACATTTCTGCTGCAGAATAAGTATAGACGGGTACAGTATGGATGGGAAGGAAAATCCACTTAGGTGTCCACTTATCCAGCTCATTACATGATCTGACATTATGCATTATATTTAGTTATACATTTAAGTGTAGACTGAACACTATATTTTGAGAGAGGCAGTTGGTCTTGCAGAACATAAATAATTATGCCTCCAGACTACCATGCTGTAATGAATGACCAAGGCAAGTGCATGTTAAGAAACTTTATTGCTTTCTGTGCTGGGTGATAATTTTATACAGTTTGACGACTTTCAGTGATATTGTATGTTATTTATTTTTCTGCACAAATTGAGTTATACAGATTTTACAGATGTTGAAGTTTTGTCTGGTGCACAACAGTGAAACACAGTTGTAATGTTATTTACATCATTACGTCAACTATTTTATTTTGCTTGCATTAGTCGATTGACGGTGGGGGGAAAAAAAACAGTTTTGAGATTGATTGTTGGTTTAACTAATTTTTCAAGCAAAAATGCCAAACATTCACTAGCTCCAACTACTCCAATGTGAGGATTTACTGCTTTTCTGTGTTTTACATAATTATAAACTGAAGATCTTTGGGTTTTGGTCACCAAAGCTGTCACCTTGGGCTGCAGACTAATTGACCCCATATTTGCCTGAATGTGATGTTTCTAAGTTGGAAAATTTTTTTATTAATAGAATATCAACCGTATCACGCAGTGTTACTTTGCAGTTGGCCTGAAAATCCAAATCCTATATAAAGTGTTGCTTCTTGTATTCTCTGGCAACAGATACATGTCCATTTAGACTTCGACCTGCCAAGATCTCTTTATTGTGTTATTCTGTCTGAGTTTGGAAATGACGACATGAGCATTCATCAGCTGGGTGCTTGCCAAAGTGCCCAGTAGGTTTGACAGGCTCGCCATCTGCCACCAAAATCAACCACAATTTTGTTGTGTGATTGTGCTTTTTAGAGAATATATAGTTTTCAGTTAGTGATGCGTAATCTTGAGGAAAAATGGACTCGATTTTACGTGTGTGTTTTGTTAGGACATCGCTCTAGCACGGGGAAAATGTGCAGTTTCAATGTGATGAAGTTTTTCTCTGCCGTGCAGCTTCATTTGTAGGCCAGGGATTTGATATAGCACTGAAGTACCAATTTTAGGATTCTGTCTGGATCATCTTCACAACCGAGGGGAACGAACAGCCTCTTGCAGTTTAGTGATTGCTCAAG